ATTTTTCTTACGCGTTTTTTGATCCTTTGAAACTTTGGTTTCTGTGTTTTCATTTTTTTTACCAAATCTGTATATTCGTGTTGAAACGTTTAGAGCGTTTTCAGTTCCATAACATATTTTATCTTTTATACCCTAAAATATTACAATTTCACGTCTGTTTCTTACTGTGTATCTGGAAATAAAATCATAAGTATTGTCACGGACCTCGCCAGTGGTTTTTCATTTATGCAAACCTCAGCCCCCCCCCCCCCCCCTCACTGTCACTGCAGCTCCGCAGCGGAGACGCCCTACGCGCAGGCAACCCATGCGTCGCCGGCGCGGCAGCATAGGCGTGACAGGGGTCTTGAGGGGCAACGTCGGCCACCGAGCCGAGCAAGGCTGTGGCGCGGGAGTGCCTACCGACAGGGCGCTCACCTAGAGCGCCTGTCATCGAGCGAGTAGGCAACCGTCGGGCAGCCGCGTCGGTTGGTGTGCCCACCTCCCAGGCGCTCCGACCCTCGGCGGGGCGGCGGGGCGCGGCCGGGTGGGCCAGCCGGCCAGCCGTCTCTTCCCATCCTCATTTCGAATTCGACCGCAAGAACAATGTAGAAACCGGTGCGTCAGCGTCGGCGTCAGCAGATCTGTAGGTCGTGGAACATTTTAGCTTTCACGGAAAATTGTGATCCTCCGGTAATGGACCGTCGCGACGCGGACGCTGCGACGGAGGCGGATCGCTCCCCCGTCCCGCCGCGAGAGGGGAGCGGCTAGCGGCTAGCACCGATCTCACTGGACACAGGTTCACGGCAATCGAAAGTCTTTCACTAATTCTGATTTTTCGCATATCGTTTCTGTTTCTGTGTTCATTATTATAATTTTTCACCCTTGCGCGAGACTGGCTGACGGGGCGGCCGGCGTCGGCGACTCGCCGCTGGAGAGCGGCTGCTTGGAGGGAGATAAACAAAGCAGCAGACGAAACAAACATGGAGCGCAAAGACGATGACCGCATAGACATCTCCATCTCCACTTCCTTCTTCCTTTTTCTCCCCTTCTTCCATCTCTCTTGCACTCATGGTGCGTCTGACGTTATCGCTCCGTGATATGCGCCACATTTGTTTTCAAAAGTTAATAAAAATGGGCCTAACAAAATATTATAATTTTTAAAATAAAATTTCTTGAGTAACCTTAGGTCAAAATAAATAATAATAGCTAATAATCATAGACCGGGGCGTCTTGATGACAGTGTTCTTTGACCGGCCTTGACCTAGGGGGCGCCAGGGTCGACCAAGCCGAAGTCGGTGTCCCGTGTGGCTCTGTGTCAATCAGTCGAACTCCTCCAGTCAGCTGGAGCGGTCGCCTCGCCTCCTCCGCCACCTCGTACAGGCCAGCTCCGCGTCCGTCCCGGGCCGTCAGTTCGCCGTGGAGTTCCGCCGTGCCCCAGTGTCCGACCCCTGTCCGAGTTGAACCGCCGCGTGGTTCTCGGGGCTGTCTTTGCGCCGTGTTCGACCATGCTGCGCCCCTGCTCCGCGCCCACCCGGGGCGGTGCCCTGTGGACCGCGCTGTGCGTGGCCGTGTTCGCCCAGACCTGCCAGAGCACCCTCGCCTTCAGCGCCTTCGGTGAGTCCAAGTCAACGTGGTCCAGTAGTGTGTGTCCCCTACATGTTTCATTCCCCTTTGAATGAGATGTTTGTACGCCCATTGACAAACGGCCATGCCGTGATGTCGCCTTCCCCCCACGTGTGCGTGCAGCCTCCCGATTCTGGACCGGTCGCTCCGTAGTAAACTGTCCTCCGCGGATGCCGCTGTCCGTGTTAGCACTCGTCCGTTGAATAGTTCTGGCGAAGGACCGTTCGCCGTAGCGCCATCGTAGCTTGTTTCAAATTAGTGTCACCATTAACACGAGCCGTGACCGCGGCGCTTACCGGTGTCCTGTGGGGAGGGGGGGGGGGCAATGCCCTCCCGGCTCAGCTGTAGCGAGCAGCAGCAGCGGTGGGCGTGCGGGGGAAGGGGGAAGCGAGGGGTTGTTTACACTCGGTGGAGGAAGCACGCGTGTTGGGCCGGCGAGGTTAACCGCGTGGATTTTGTTGCAGAGACTCTTTCACATTGCGATGACGGCTTTTTCGCGTGCCTGGACGGTGACTGCATTAGAAATTCAAAGCACTGTGACGGCGAGAGGGACTGTCGGGACGGCAACGATGAGTGGGACTGCGGTAAGTTTGGTTGGTTAGGTAGCCCGAGTAGCGCGAAGGCGTCATGAATAAGTCTTTGACATCAGTTTGACCTCCAACCTTAACATTCCACCTGCATTTTGATGAGATTTTGGATTACTTTAGTACGATGTACCCTCTCTATGCCACTGGGTACTTGAGTGATAATTTCATAGCTGGGTCTTTGATGTATCTTTGGCCAATTGTCTCATCTGAACTTGCAGAATTCATCAAATGTGAAGCGCCCATGTTTTTCCGCTGCCAATCCGGCAAGTGTATCAGTACCTCGTTTGTCTGCGATGAAGAAAATGATTGTGAGGACTGGTCAGATGAAAAAGATTGCCACAACTATCAGGTATTTTCCTGTCTGCATTTTGCCTCTTCTTAATCAGGGAAACCTTGGGTCATAGGTGGCCTCAAGTTCATGTCATTGGAATCAACTTAACTGTCTTTTCCAGGCTCCACCTGTCGGTGATGGCTGCTCATCTAAAGAGTTTGAATGTCTTGATAAACTCTGCATTCCCAAGGACATGGTCTGTGATGGAGAGCTTGACTGTCTTGATGGTAGTGATGAAACCCTTGGCTGCTCTACGAAGATATCATGCGATGATGGATTTATGTGCAAGAACAAGCACTGTATTCCTGCAGAGTTCAAATGTGACGGATCAAATGATTGTACAGATGGGAGCGATGAAGAAGATTGTCGTAAGTATTTGACTGTAGCAGTAATTACTTATCCATCAGGTAAGGTAGTAAGCATTAATTCCTAAACAAATTTTGTTTACCTTGCAGATATGATCACGCACAATGTACCAATTGAGGAATGTGTCCCTGAGAAACTACTCTTCGCCTGCAAAGACCATGTTGGATGTCTGGACATTAAGCTAGTCTGTGATAATGCTTCTCATTGTTTGGATGATTCTGATGAGCATGGCCTTTGTTCAGAATCCTGCGAATCATTGAATTGTACCCATCAATGCTACCGCACACCAAGTGGTCCTGTCTGCATTTGTCCCAAAGGAACCAGAATGGAAAATGGGGCGTGTGTGGGTGAGTAAACTTCATCAGGTATTCTATGGCATCTCTTCCCCTCCAGTTTCTCTTGAATTTGTGTTTATTGTTCCAGAATTTGATGAATGCACGTCTTACGGTGTCTGTGATCAGAAATGCCGCAAGCAGCCAGCTGGTTACCAATGCTATTGTGATCCTGGGTATACTCTTCAGAAAGATGGACATTCTTGCAAAGCCGATGGTAAAGTTCTTTTATTTTGTTCTGTAATTGCCCCATTTCAAATATTAGCCCTTCATTTATTGTACATTTTTAAATTTAATTTTTACTGAACTTTTTGTACTTTGCAGGAGGGGAAGCTCTTATGGTTTTTTCTGCTGGAAGTCAAATTAGAGGATACTACTTGACATCACAGACTCTCTTCAGAGTTGCCAGCCAGCTGGGCCAGGTTGCTGGAATAGGATATGATGGATTCCACATTTACTGGACAAATGTTATGCAGGGTGAGGAAGCAATCATGCGGTCAAATGAAGATGGCTCTGAGAAAGAGCAGTTGGTCAGCGCAGGTAATTCACTAGTATTCTAAACCACCTTTGTAAATGTCAGTTCAATCCTTAACTTCATTTAATTTTTTCAGGACTTGGCCTCCCGGAAGACTTGGCTGTGGATTGGATCACCCAAAATGTTTACTTCACTGACTCTCAGAAAAAACACATTGGAGTTTGCAGTTCAGATGGTTCATCATGTACAGTTGTGGTTAATGAGGACATTGACCAGCCACGCAGCTTAGCACTCCTGCCATCTCAAAGGTGAGTACAGGGTGTACTGCATCATTACTTTCTGTAGTACTTCAGTTTTCTTTGATTCCTTGAATTTACCTAATTTTTTCTCACAGGTTAATGTACTGGTCTGATTGGGGTGAAAAACCCATGATTGCATCTTCTGGAATGGATGGTTCCCGCCCTGCTGTTCTTGTTTCATCTGACATCCGATGGCCCAATGGTTTGGCCCTTGATTACCACAATGAGAGGCTGTACTGGGTAGATGCTAAGAGACAGAAGATTGAAACTGTGAAGCTTGATGGTTCTGATCGCAGGGTATGTATTCCTATTTTTATTATGTCTTGTAAATTTATGGCAGGCTTGTATCCAACATTCTTCATTTTAGGTCATTTTGGAAAAAGTTTTGAAGCATCCATTTGACATTGCTGTATTTGAGGGCTCTTTATACTGGAGTGATTGGGAAGGTAGACAAATTCAAGCTTGTGACAAATTCACTGGCAAGAACCACCGTGTCCTTATTCGAGAACGTAAGAACAAAGTTTATGGTGTGCACATCTTCCACTCTGCAATGCAGCACAGGAATGTAAGTTCCTCTTGTCTCTAGTGACATCAATTCTTTTTTTCTCAATATTCATGCACTAATTAAATTATTTTCGCAGATTTCAAACCCCTGCCTTGATGCCGGCTGCTCAGATCTTTGTGTACTCTCACCAAACACACTCGGTTACACCTGTGCTTGCCCTGAAGATAGAGAACTTGCTGCTGACAAGCACAACTGTCATGAAGTTGATAAGCGACAAGTGGTAATGATCGGAGCTGGCCATAATCTGTATCAGGTTGAAACAAGAGTGTTGGGCAAACTTGCTGTAACAACTATTCCCTTGAGAGCTGTTAACAAGATGGGAGCCCTGGCATACAATTCGTTAACTGGTAATTTATTTTCCTCATTGAGTATTAAATGTTGACTGAGCTGTACCTTTCAACACTCTAATTGAATCTTCAATTACAGGTTCACTCTTCATCTCTGATTACGTTCAAAAGAAGATTTATTCATATAATCCTAGGACAGCAAGGATTGATCTTTTGGTTGGAGGTGCCATTGGAGTAGTATCTGGAATGGACTTTGATCACCTTGCCAATAATTTGTATTGGTGTGATGTTGAGAAGAATACCGTAGAGGTCATTTCTCTTGGCACCAATGAAAGAGCTGTTATTCTTCGTGATCTTGGCAATGAAGTACCCTTGGACTTGGCTTTGGTACCATCATCAGGTGTCATGTATGTTGCTTTTTCGAGTGATCATGGAGTACACATTGATCGGTTCAACATGGATGGCAGTAGCCGCACTCATGTTATTGAAACTGGATTAGAAGGCCCTCATGTATCAATGTGGTATGACCAGGAACTTGACAGGGTTATGTGGACTGACAGTGGTCTTGGATTAATTGACAGCACATCTGTTGATGGACCTGACAGACATGCATTCAGAGCACTTTCCACAAGTGTCATAGATGTAACAACTATCACAAGTGATGTCTTTTGGGTTGATCGGCATTCTAGTCTTCTGCACTGGGCTGACAAGTATGATGGCTATGCACATGAGAAGAAATTGGATCTTGGCATTACTGATGGCTTAGACTCTGTTCATCTTGTTGGAGTTCGTGGAATCCTGTCAAGTGTTAATCATCCCTGTCAAGATAACAATGGAGGTTGCACACATTTGTGTCTTCTCTTGGGCAAGAACCATGTCTGTGCCTGTCCAGAGGGCATGATTCTGAAGCATGACAACCATACCTGTGTTGTTCCCCTACATTGTACTTCATCTCAATTCAAGTGCAAATCGGATGATCTTTGCATTCCTAAGTCTCAGAGGTGCAATGGCCACCGAGAGTGCCCAAGCGGAGAAGATGAAGAGGGCTGCAAACCCACTTGCCACTTTGGACAATTTGCTTGCAACAATGGACAGTGCATCGATGAGTCTCTGAAGTGTGACTCCAACTATGATTGTACAGACAAATCTGATGAAACCAACTGTCACATGGTTGCTTGTGATCCTGATACTCAGTTTACTTGTGAGTCTGGCCAATGCATCAGCTTGCAATGGAGGTGTAATTTTGCTGAAGATTGTCATGATGGTTCTGATGAGGCTAATTGTGCTGAATCTACCTGCGAGCCTGGTAAAATGTTCCGCTGCAAGTCTGGTGCTTGTATTCCGTCTACCTGGGAATGTGATCATGAAATAGATTGTGCTGATGGCTCAGATGAACATGACAAGTGTGGTGAGTTGAACTGTAAAGTTGTGAAATTTTATCTGTACTTGCGGGTCTTTAACTTTGGTCTTGCTTTCAGCTCCCCCTCCCTGTGAGACACCTCGCTTCCAATGTACTAATCAAGTCTGCATTGATGAGAGGCTCAAGTGTGATGGCCACGACAACTGTGGAGATGGCTCTGATGAAAGTGGATGTGTTTATGCTCCGACAGTTATGAAAAGCACACCTGACACTGAGAAGATTGACAAAGAATTAGTGTGTGCAGAAGGAGATTTTAAATGTCAAGTACAGCCTGTTTGTTTACCAGGTGCAGCCCGTTGCAATGGAACTGCTGAATGTGTGGATGGAGAAGATGAAATGGACTGCAAGGGCTGTGCTGGACACGAGTTCCAGTGCCACAATGGGCACTGCATCCCCACAGCTTGGCTTTGCGACAGGTACAATGATTGTGGCGACAATTCTGATGAAGAGCTCAAGGAGTGCAAGAATTCCCGTGCACCCAGCAGGGTTTTTGAGGCAACCAAGAAGTGTAGCACCTTCCAGTGCCCTACTGGCGAATGTCTTCCCTGGAGCATGGTGTGCAATGTTCATGAAGACTGCCCTGATGCATCAGATGAAGGAGGCCGCTGCCAGACTGCTTGCTCTGAAGGCCATCCTTGTCTTGGCACCTGTGTCCGCACACCTCATGGACCCCATTGCTCTTGCAACGCTGGCTATGAGCTCATGGGTGATGGTCGCACCTGCCAGGATATTAATGAATGTGAAGATGATCCTTGCTCCCAGCTTTGTGAAAACACTGATGGCAGCTTCGAATGCAGTTGTGCTCCAGAATTTGTGCTTCGTGCAGATAAAGTTTCATGCAAAGCTACAGGTGAGTAGCATTTCCTACTTGTTAGTGATTTTGATATTAGTTTTTACTTAATTCACATATGTTATAGGATCTGCATTGGAGTACCTATTCTCAACTGGGGAGCAAGTTCGTAAGGCATCTGCTAGTCTCACAGCATTCCACATTGTAGCTGAAAATTCAGGTCTGGAAATTTCTGGATTGGATGTAGATGCCAGAGCACAACACATCTATTGGACCACAGGTATGTATGGATTTAACTTTGCTGTCCACACCCAACAAAACCCTGGACTTACATTTTGATTCTTTTGCAGAGGCTAATGGAATTCTTCACAGAATGTCTCTTGGCACTGGAGTACTCTCCCATGTGAGAGGTCTTGGTGTCCCCACGAAGTTGGCTGTAGATTGGTTGTCCAAAAATGTGTATTACACCAACATGGCTGAAAGAGGATCAGTCAATGTATGCAATCTGGAGAAACAGAAGTGTGCAAGGTTACTCAGAGGAGAGGATGGCACATACACTGGAGCTATTGCTGTGGATTCTAAATCAAGGTGTGTAATCTCAATATTTAATTAGGTCCTCAATTCATGTGCAAACAATTAACTCGTATCCCTTTTTCAGTTTGTTATTCTGGAGCAGAGTTTACCCCGGGGATGGCGGTGCCCCAACTAGTCAGCTGATGTTCTCAGATTTATCTGGCCAGAATGAGAGTTCCATTGCCAATGGCAATCTAATTTCTGGTATTGCTCTTGATCTCATAAAGAGGCAAGTCTACTGGGCCGACCAGCACATTGGAACAATCTCAAGAATTGATTATTCTGGGGAAAATAAGATCATGATTCGGCAAGACGATGTAAGTGACCAAAAAGTCTTCCTGCTTATTCTCATCTATTTTATCTTTGAGTGATTATTTTAAAATTATTTCTTGCAGGTTTACCATCCCCTGGGATTGAATTTGTTTGAAGACACTCTATTCTGGATCAATGGTGGCACTGGAACCCTTACCAAATGTAGAATGTATGGAAAACTTCAAAATTGTGACAAATTTACGTTAAGTCACACCGATGTCAAGAACTTTGCTGTTATGCAGGCCACACGTCAAACTTTCGGTATGCTCCTACATCTCTATCCCACATATTTGCATTTATTTCCTCTAATCTATTCCAATTCTACCCTTCTGTAGGTGAGGACCAATGTCTTGCTGTCAATTGTACCCACCTGTGTGTACTCAGCTTGAAGGGACCCAAATGCATTTGTGAGGATGGTTCAATTGTGAAGCCTGGAAAGTCGTGTTCAGTGGCTGTAAGTACTTGTCTGAAAGCAAGACTGAAATCAGTTATTGATATGCTATTCTAAATTTATTCTCTTGTGCAGCGGGAAGCAGAGGATATTCCAGAAGATAAGAAGCCATCATTCCACATGGTTGTGGAAACTGCAGAAGCATACGGCAAGGCTCATGGCAGCACTGTTGTTGGTCCAATCATAGCAGTCATCATGGTTATTGGAGCTGTCTTCGGTTTCCTTGCATACAAGAGGCACTCTTCTGGAAATGGAATCAACTGGCCTAATCTGCCGCTTGGTATCAATATTGGCAAGCTTGGAGGAGGTGGTGGCACAAAGTTAGTTTCTCCACTTAAAAATATCTGCTTTAAAATTTGTATTGTCTGTTGCAGTGCTAAAATTCTTAATCTTGTTTCAGTGTCACTTTCGACAACCAAGGATTTGGAATGGCTTCATCAAGACCAGATCCTTTTGAACCAACAATGAAACCAGGAAATCATGAATATGAAAATCCCACCATGAGAGATGTAAGTCTTCCCTGCCCACAGAAAGCACAATTCCTACACATACTTGTTAAATTTTCATTTCTTTCTTTTTTGCAGAAAATGGATGGAAAACTTTCAATGTCATCCAACGTTCAAAGTTGGGCAGCACCAAAGAAGATTCCTGTTGATAAAATGCTGCTTGAGGATGAAGACTCTGATGCCGAGTATATGGATGGTGAAAACGACAATATTAGATTAATTCCATAGGCATCTTGTT